GCCTCCTCTCTGATTTACCCGTTTATCTCGAATTGATGAAATATTCCTACTTGTGCCGATCTTCCACTGGCCCTTTAATTGGTGGCTCTTACTAATAATTCATGTGTTAATCTAATTAGATTGTAACTGCCCCAAAAAGACATTCCAGTGCAATGGACTGAAGTACATTTAGAGCTAGGCAGTGATGGCAAGAGCCTTTAATCCCAGCACTCAGGAGATAGATCCAGGCAGAACTCTGAGTTCAAAGCCATCCTGGTCTACAGAGCAAGTTCAAGGACAGCCAGAACTACACAAAGAAACACTAAAAGTTAATTAATTAATTAAAGTACATCTATTTTTATGTGGCAAGATATTCGCACACATCATTTAGGAGAATGATGTTTCCCTGTGTATTCTATCTTCAGAGTGAAGGCTCTCCCACTTACTCATCTCAGGAAGTCTACACTCTTCTCTTTTTTTTCCTTTAGAAAGTCTACACTCTTAAAAGTAACTCAGGACCCAAGCTCTATTTGAGTGTGTTATAGCTACCACTAATTGCTGCTAGAAACTGAGACTGACTTTTGAAAATATTTCTGTATTTGCTCACTTAAAAATAACAACAAAAAGGTCAATTTCCTAGTAACATAAATAACATTTTGTGAAGAATAGCCTGATTTTTAAAACAGAAAAATACAGAATGGAATTACTGTTCATTTTGAAAATCTTGTCAATGCCTGGTTTGATAGCTGTCTGGATTCTCTTATCTGTATCCACATGCAGTCTGTAGTGATAAGCTACTTCTTCTTGTGTAGTTGGTTACTCCAGATTGAAACATGTCCTCCCAGAGGAAAAGCTCACAGATTCATGGAATTCAAAAAACGCTTTTTAAGTCTCAAGAAACTCATGAAACTTACAAGACTCCAAGGCACCTTCCTGAGGCTGTGTAGGCAGTAAAAAAAAGACACTGGAAGAGAGGATGCTGATCAGTGGTGTAGCTGACTTCACAGTGTGCAAGGGGTTCCAGCAATGCAGGTTTTCAGAGTTGTAAACCATGCCAGGTGGAGCTTTTCAGTGATGCAGCAGCCGGTGTCACCAAGCATCCTGTAAGAAACTCTAACGTGGCCAGGCATGGGTGGCACAGGCTCTAAACCCAGGGAATCAGGGAGCAGAGGCTCTTTGTGAGTTGCAGACAAGCCTGACCTACACAGTTACATGGTAAGATTCTGTTTCAAAAAGGGAAAAGTAAAAAACAAAACAAGAAAAGAAATCCCAATGAACTTAGTTGGTTCACCAAGCTGGTGTCATTGTCTTCTTATCTGTGATAGACATACTGCAAGAAAAGTCAGCTAAAACCTGTATTACAACATATACAGGAAATCTGCTAGGCATGGTGGCACATGCATGTAATCCACTATTTCAGAGGTTAGAGCAGGAGAATTACGAGTTTGAGACCAGTCTGGGCTACATAGGAAGGCCATATCTCAAAAGAGCAAATTTTTAAAAACCTGACAATATGTGAAGAAACTTATCTTCACACTAAATACTTAATAAATGGTTTAGATAGTTGCATATATATTCTTGGATAGTATGTTAATGCTCAAGAAAACTAAGTCCTTAAAGGCCACATTCAATATGGGATCTGAATTATATCAATTAATTTCTATGAATAAAACCATTAGTTTATTTTCATATTTGAATGGGTCTTTATCTTTCTAGCATGATTCTGTAACTTCCTACATTGGCCATTTGGAAAATATTTTTTCACTAGTTCACAAAAAAAATTTAAATGTTGACATAGTCATTTAAAAAAATCACACACATTCAGAAAAGTCTTTAACTATCAGAAGCTGTTGAGCTCATGGTAATGAATAAAAATCTCCACGGTTCTATTTTTTACTTTACAGCTTTAAACTTGACTCAATTTTTTAAAAGTTTTCAGAAAGCATTTGCAAAATACAAAAGTCCAATGCCTTAAATTTGTCTGCCAGTTGTTTTTTTCACATTGTACTGATGCTCCATGAAAACAAATGGCTGCCTCAGCTTTCAGTAACGGCATTTTTTTTTTTTTTTAATGGCAGATGTGTTTTTTCTTATGATGACTAGCATACCGAGCATACTTTCTATTTTATCATAAAATTAAAAAAAATAAAAAAGATATACAGTTAAGTATTTAGATTTAATAAAATTAGTCATTGTTTATTCCAAATCAAGATTTGTGGTTTATTTATTTTGTTTTGCTTTTTGAGAAATTTTCACTGTTTAACTCAGGCTGGTCTTGAACTCTTGGTATTTCTTGCTTCAGCCTTTTAGGTGCTGGGTTTACAGGCATGTGCTACCATGCCTGGAAATATTCTACAGGCATTTTATTCTATGTGTGTGTATAGAAGCAGATATACCAGAGAATACACAAATACATGAGCCTACGGAGGACATTTTCAAACCAACACAGTTCTTCACAGACCTTGAAAGAACAGTACTCAACTTCAAATGGAAAAACTAAAAACCCAGGATAGCCAAAACAACCCTATACAATAGAGAAACTTGTGGAGACATCACCATCCCTGACTTCAAACTCTATTATAGAGCCATAGTCCTGTAAACAGCTTGGTATTGGCACAAATATAGACAGGTTGACCAAAGGAATCGAACTGAAAACCCTGATATTAACCCACACACCTATAAACACCTGATTTTTGACAAGGAAGCTAAATTTATACAATGGAAGAAAGAAAGCATCTTCAATAAATGGTGCTGGCATAACTGGATTCGGACATGTAGATGATTGCAGATTTATCCATATCTATCGCCATGCACTAAACTTAAATCCAAACGGATCAAAGACCTCATCATATATTTAGTCACACTGAACCTCTTAGAAGAGAAGGTAGGTGGCACTCTTGAACAAATTGGTGCAGGAGACCGCTTTCTGAACACAACACCTCAAACATTGAGGTCGACAATTAATAAATGGGACCTCCCGAAACTGAGAAGCTTCTGTAAAGCAAAGGACACAGTCAGTGAGACAAAACACCAGCTCACAGAATGGGAAAAGATATTCACCAACCCTACATCTTTCAGAGGGCTGATCACCAAAATTTACAATGAACTCAAGAAGCTAGCCACCAAAACACCAAACAATGCAATTAAAAAAAGGCATGCAGAACTAAATAGAGAATGCGCAACAGAGGAATCCAAAAACGGCTGAAAGACACTTGAGAAAGTGTTCAAGATCCTTAGCCATCAGGGAAATGCAACTCAAAACCACTCTGAGAGACCATCTTACTCCTGTCAGAATGGCTAAATGGGAAAATGGGAATCAGTCTACCTCAAGATCAAGCAATCCCTCTCTTGGGCATATACCCAAAGAATGCACACTCATACAGTAAGGACATATGTTCAACTATGTTCATAGCAGCATTATTTGTAATATCCAGAACCTGGAAACAACCTAGATGCCCCTCAACTGAAGAATGGATAGAGAAAATGTGGTATATTTACACAATGGAGTACTACTCAGCGGAAAAGAACAATGAAATCTTGAAATTTGCAGGCAAATGGATGGAACTATAAGAAACCATCCTCAGTGAGATAACCGAGTCACAAAAAGATAAACATGGTAGGTACTCACTCATTTTTGATATCTAGACATAGAGCAAAGGATCACTAGCCTACATTACACACTGCCAGAAGATCTAAGAAACAAGGAGTACCCCAAGAGAAGATGGCATAGTCCCTCAAAGAAGGGGATGGGGACAAGAACCCCTTACCAAATTGGAGCCCAAGGGCAGGGAGAGGAAAGAGAGTCTTCATCCACCTGCTTTTCGAAGCAGAAACAGACACCCACAGCTAAGCACTGAACCATACTACTGGAATTCAGTTGTGGAGAGGGAGGAGGGTTGAGGAAAGGAGCCAAGACAGGGATGGAGAGACCTGCAGAAACAGTGGACCTGACCTACTGATAGAATGGAGACCCTAGTCATAAAGCTGGGGAAACAGCATTGGACCAAACCAATCTCTCTGAATGTGGCTACCAGCTAGGAGCCCAAGACAGTCTATGGACCTCTGACAGCGGAGTCAGTCTTTATCCCTAGAGCACAAATGGACTTTGGGAGCCCATTCCCTATGGAGGGATACTATTGCAGCCCAGACACAGCAAGGAGGGTCTAGACCCTCCCCCAAACAATATTACAGACTTTGAAGATCCTTGATAGAGGGACCTTCTACCTCTACCTCACTATCTCAGGAGAGGAGTTGAGGGGGGTGGGTTGGGTGGAGAACATGGGAGGAGAGGAGGGTAAGGGAATGGGGGGATGGATATGTAAATATGAGTAATTAAAAATAATAAAAATTAAAAACAAAACAAACAAAAAACCCTGAGAAATAACCAAGATCTTCTAGACATAATACTCTATGGAAATAACAAAAGGAACAGTAAATTATATTCAAGTAACTTGAATATATGTTCACTAAAAGGATATCACATTATTTTCCAAAGTATACACAAATTCATGAGCATCTATTCAAATACTACAAAAGTTACCTAGTTAGATACAAGCATATTAACAAGAATAAACCAACTTGAAATACTGTGGAATAGCAATACATTCACATAGTTTGCATAGTTAGATAAAAATATTTAGAAAAAATTCTACATCTTTTGTGTTAGTCAGGGGAATTAGCCAGGGAGCTTTTGAAAGAAGATCCCATGAATTTAGCATTTCTACTTCTATGATTGCAAGCATCCCTTCCCTTCTTGGCAAAACAAAATTGATTTGTGTCCATTTTCTTTGGATAAGTCATTAATAAAGGAGACTCCATGTCTTTTAATAGTCTATTTTAATCTTTAACAAACAACTCTACCAGTGAATTCTTTCTCATATCTGTACTATATTTTCATAATAACTTTCATGTTGCTTTTCAAAGAACAGGAACAAAAATAGTTATATAAGTTACTTTTCTGTTGCTGTGATAAAACACCATGACCAAGACAATATAGAGAAGGAAGAGTTTATTTGGCTTACCATACTATAAGGGTTAGGTCCACAATGGCAGAGACAGAATGGCAGCACATGGCAGGCATGCCCACTGAAGCAGGATGTTGAGAGCTCACATCTACAGCTGCAATAACAAAGCAGAGAGAGAGAGAGAGAGAGAGAGAGAGAGAGAGAGAGAGAGAGAGAGAGAGATCTTAAACAGCACAACTGTTTAAATTTTTCAAAGCCTGCCTCCTGGGACATACTTCATCTAACAAGGCCACACCACCTAAACCTCCCCATACACCCATACACCCATACAGTGCCACCAAGTGTTCAAATACATGAGCCTATGGAGGACATTCTCAAACCACCACACTGATATTGTCTCCAGACTAATGATTTCCCACTTTCAGACCATCTTTTCTCATGGGGTTATCTATTCAACACATTTAATGGTATTATTAATCTTCTCTGAATTTACCCACTTCATGACACCTTTAGCAAGATGAGGAGACATAAACTGATTGCAATGATAACTCAACAACGGCCCAGAATGTCTAATTTAGAAAGCAATTATTTCCAACTGAGGTTCCTACTAGTCCTCAAAGATAATATTTATTGCCTAGGCAATCTCGGCAACCTTTTTCTTTGTAAGTTTTAGCAACAATGGCTTATATGCATAAAAGTTACTATTATAGAACATTGCCTTGTTTAACCTTCTAACCTCTTAGCAATGACAGATGTGTGTCATGTGATTTCTGCTGCATGGGTGAGTAATTTGAACCTAAAGAAATTAAGGTAATTTGCCTGTGGTCACTTAGCTAGTAGGTGCTGGAGGTAGATGGTCTCATTCTAAGCATATAGGAAGCACACAAACAGCTTGAATGGAAGACAGTATGGAATAAGAGAAAGAGTGCAATTTGCAGCCAGAGAACATGCATTTAGTCTCTAGCTTGGCCCCTGGCAGTCACATGACCACATAGCAATAATAGGATTGATGTGAGCATTATGATGAAAGTGTAATGAACTGTATGAACTCTGATTTTTATATTCTCCTTGTTCTGATGACATAAACAGATTTGATTTATAAATGTGTCCCAAAATAATTTCCACTTGCCTTTTCTGCTTCCACACTACCAATTTATTCTTTTTGAAGTATATTTCTTCTTATTATTTTCTTGGTTTTTCTTCCTTTTTCTCCTATGGCAAAATTTCTCAGCTAGTCTAGTGTTTTGGATATTTGTTAACAAAATTTAAAAAGTCAGGAAATACTCACTCTGTGTTGTGTGACAAAACCTTTCCTGAAGAGACACAACACACACATCTACTCACCCCAAGTAGGGGACCCACAACAGACCAAAATATGGATACCACCAAAGTTAAGCTTGGTGAACCAATTAGGGATTTTGTTGTTGTTGTTGTTGTTGTTGTTGTTGTTTGAGACAGGGTTTCTTTGTGGCTTTGGAGGCTGTCCTGGAGCTAGCTCTTGTAGACCAGGCTGGTCTCGAACTCACAGAGATCTGGGTGCTGGGATTAAAGAGGTGCCACCACTGCTGGCCTGAACCAATTAGTTTTATTGAGGTTTACTTAGAGGAATATGGATGAGAGGTTGTTTACAGGAGCATAAATGACTCAAAGATAGCTGCAACACAAAAGTCCATTGTAGCACAAATGCCCAAAGCTGGGAACCCAGGGTACACTGTATAGCCTACAGGCAGCCCAACAGACTGGAGAGGGTCCTTTCCAGGTGTCTCAGTAGCTTAACCCTCTTCCAAGCAGCTTGGCTGGTTTCTGCTTCTTTCAGACAGATGCTTTGCTCTCAAAGTCTTCTTTGCCGCTTGACTATGTGGAGAGTCTTCTTTGCAGCTCCCCTGAGGCAGACTCTCAGCTTTTATTGATTACTCTAGCATGAAGGGGGTCTAGTGAATCTGATCAGTTTCAGGGACTTCCAGAAGCTATTCTGAGTCATTTACCTTTTGCCTTAAAGGGTTTACCTGCAGAATGGAATGTTTCAGCATTACAGGAAAGTGTTACACACTGACATTTTCATCCTTAGACTCTATCTGTAGGCTGCTTTCAAAACACTTACAAACTATATATAAATCAAAATAGAAAAAACATAAAAAATTTGTACTCCCTTTAACTTGTAGGTATTTTGTTATTATTGATGTTGATTGTGTGGTTACTATTCAGAAACAAGGTCTTACTCTCTAGGCCAGGCTGGTCACAAGCTTGCTATGTGGCCAAGACTTGTTTAGAACTCAAAATACTCTTGATTCTTCCTCTGGAGTGCTGAGATTAGGCGTGTGTCAACAAAAAAGGAGTGTTTGTGTTTTTGAAGTGGTGAAAGGGAGCAGAGAATTACTGTGTTGAGTTAAAATATTTTAATCGCAATGCCATTTTTGTAAACCCATTGACTATTTGGAGTTAGTATTGCAGGGCAAAATCTTAGAAGTCAGTGGTGCACTGTTGCAATACCTGATTACATGCAATCGTGGCACGTGTACCCCTGGATTTTTCCCACCTACAGTGCCACCGAGTTTTTCTGGATGATTGATAAACAATGTATTTTGTGCAATGTAGGCGATAACTGTAAATGGTCTGCCTCACACTTCTCTTCTAGAAATGTTAGTTTTCTGCCCATATAATTAATATTGGCCTTCCTCTATGTTCACAAGTTTCTCGCGTCTTATATCTTTCCCTCACATAATTTGGCTGCCCACCACTCTCTTCAATTACAAGAGCCACTTTAATTCTCCTTTTTCCTAAGTGTGGTAGAATCTATATCTCTCTATTACCACTGAATACCCCTTAATACTGAAGTTTACACAGGTAAGGTATCTGTCAGGTGGACAACTGATTTGAATAGGTCAAGTGGAAAAGCCTAAATTAGCAGGACTGAATGGCTGATCTAAAATAAAAAAAAAAATGTATTATCGGGTATGGAGGGATGTCTTGGTATTTAAGGGTACATACCACTCTTACAGAGGATCTGAGTTTGGTTACCAGAACCCAAGCTGGGCAACTCACAATTACCTATAACTCCAGTTCCAGGGGAGTCCAGTTCCAATGCCTCTGATCTGACACCTGACCTCATATAAAATACCTCTCACAGAGCTACACATAATTATCAATAAAGTAATCTTTTTAAAAATGCATTATGATGGCTGAAGAGGTAGCACAGAAGTTAAGAGCACATACTGCACAAGACCCAAGTTCAGTTCCTAGCACTCACATAGTTGGTTGGTTCACAATTACTGTAACTCCAGCTCCCTGGGGAGTCCAGTGCTTATGACCTGGGTCACTATATCCTCATGTAATATCCACGCACAGGCACAATACCCATACAGACACACACACACACACACACACACACACACACACACACACACACACACCAATTAAAAAATAATAAAAATGAAGTTTTTTTTTAAAATGATACCTACTAAAATTTTCAAGGTTTTTAACTAGTGGTCATTACAGAGCTCATAATCAAGGCATCAGCAACCAAGACCTTGAGAGAAAGAGCTGATGGCTGCGTTGAGTTCAGGATGCTGTGCCATGTAGCCATATAGATGCCATCATTTATGCCATAGTTATTTAGTGATGTTTCGGGGCTTCCACCCTTTCAATGTGCTGCCCTTGTTCTAACCTCCAAAAGTGTGACTTGAGGACGGGATGATATTCAGAAAAGTTAAAACACTGTGCTTTCTCAATTTTGGGTCATTTTCACTTCACGGTCAGCATATCTAATATTGAACTATGTTTTACAATGACATTTACTTACAAACTCATCAGCCATCTAGCATAGCAGGAAGCCATTGTCACTCTATCCATGTGCAAACCTGTGTGTACAAAGCATCTGTTCGGCAGTTATCTGATGTTTAATTCTGAAGTTAAATTGGGATCTTGCTTATGAAATGAAAGCCTTTCATTAAAGCATTGAATATCTATCCATCAAAACATTAAAGCACTGACTATCCAGCTGGCTTTTTAGAAAAGCAATTTTTAATTTACAAAAAAAAAAAAAGAAGTGTGGTTTTAGTCACAAGCATATTCACAAAGGAAAAGCAAAACAAAAGCAAAAACACTGCTGTTTTTCAGATGCGTAGAAATTCTGCCAGGCCAAAGGGAACTGAAGAGATCAAGATTTGAGCATGGATTATGATATGCCACATGTTACCATGGTGTCACAACTGACAACAGCCTACACTATTCTGAAAAGTTCTTAAATATCATGCACACATATTTACTCTTAGGTTATGATTTACTGCTGAAAGAGAAAAAAGGTATGTAACTATGTTGATAACATAAAGTTATTGCCAGTTAAAATAATGAATCTTCATTTAACTCATTCCTCCTTCCCCACCTCCTAAAGCTGCTGTGAGATGTGTGAGATTATCAAAGTTCTAGCAACATGCAATTCAGGGATCCATATATTTGGTATGTGCTTCTACCAGTTCATTGGCTGTGACTAGACTTTTGTTTTTCAAATAAATATATATTTTAAAAGTTTTAAATTAAGTATAGAAGGCTCAACTGAATTGTTCAATGACTAATATATTCTTTTCTTTATGAGAACTCCCAGTCCATAATTAATTCATGCACATTGTTGATTGAAGACTATGTAAATTTTGCTCCTATATTTAATTTTTAAAATATTTTAAAGGAAAGAACTCTTCAAAGTTTTTGTGAGAGGTTTCCACCAGGAAGTATACTAAAAGCAATTAGTGCTAGGCAGTGGAGGCATACGCCTTTAATCACAGCACTCAGAAGGCAGAGGCAAGCGGATCTCTGTGAGTTTCAGGTCAGCCATGTCTACAAAGTGAATTCCAAGACAGCCAGGGTTGTTACACAGAGAAACCTCCTCTCCGAAAACAACAACAAAACAAATAAAAAACAAAAACAAAACCAACTGGTAGTGTTGAAGAAGTCTCCTTGTCACCTTGGAGGATCTTTTTCAACTCTCATAGAAACTAGGGGCTAATTGGGATGAAATGAGCCAAAATGTCCAAACATTTGTATGATTCGGTTCTGTAAAAGCTGAAAACGATGTGTTTTGAGGCTCATGATAACTGAAATGGCAAGATAAGTAACAAATTTATAGCAGGTTTAGCCAGCCATGTCTCTATATACCTTTGCA